GATAGGTATGTGCGTATGCAATGTTGGTGTTGAATATTACATATTACTGTTGTATTATAGTTTCTATAAATGTTGATTATATTTTCCTGGTATTTATTTTCTTTGGGAAATATTATTCAATATTTTAGATAACAAAAGACATTGACAACAAAAGATTGGATGTAAGTATTGTATAAAAATAAGTAATAAGGAGAAGGTGAAGCAAGATTTATTTTTACACATACTGAAATTCCAATGCATCATTTTAATACATTAAATTCATGAGAATTATTTTGTTGCAGCTTCAAATTCCAAAAATACATTAGTAAATTATAATCTTTCTCCTTATTTAATAATCTATTTGTTCCAATTATGGTATTTGCATAAAAACAATTTCCATTTTTAAATATTGATTTGATCTTGTATGTGCTATATCTGATTTTGTAAGAAAGGTTTTACTCAAAAATTTTTACATCTTTAAAATTGATAATAATTGCATTTGGTATATTAAATAATATGTAAGAATCTAGAGATGGATTCTTGATGTATTTAATACTTTGTGGGGCAGCTGGGAACTGTGATGGGAGAAGTTAGTCCGGGACCACTACCATTGCACACACGCGTCGCCTTGCCAGGTTTGGTCGGCAAACATTTATAGAGACTAATTGATATTGGTAAATAAACTTAACTTTCTATGTGTAATATTATATGTGCAACTGATAAATGTATTTATTTAAAAAGCTTATAATCTGTGCAGACAATTATGTCTAATATTATCAATTATAAATAGAATTTGAAAAATAAATTTATTATCTACTGCTTTTATTTAATTATTCTAAGGAAAAATGTTCGTATCATTTGTTGATAAAACATGAATGTAAATTGTTATAATAAACGTAATTTATATTACTTTCACTTTGTAATGAACATGATTGCATTATTGTTATTTGATTGTCATGATTCTAAGATTTAAAAAGTGTCCAACTTCTTTAGTACTTTGTATCTACATATATGTATGAATTATATAACAATAATAATAATAATGTATACATTACATTTATTGGTTGTACTAAATCTATTTTAAAGTTTCAAATTTTATTATGTCAGTAAACACCAATAAACATAAATTATTATACTTTTTATCTGCTATATTAATTTATTATTCAGTGGAGGTCCTGGCTTGTAATAATTATTACAGATAAATATTATCTTGGAACACTATTGAATGAAATATAGTAATGTGGCACCAACTTTCATTTGCATTGTACATTCGAATATAATAATTGATAGCAAAATATAACAAAGCAGCTTAAGAAGTAATACATTTCATATTTGGATGTATTTTGCAATAATTTGAAACTAACTTGAAAGTATAATTGTTTAAATACAGAATTTTATTTGCTATTCAGCAAATTGATTTTGCTGGCATATACAATCATATTTGTATTCAAGGTGCAGGACACTTAATGTGTAATAATCCAAAAAATATATACCATTTATATTATAATTTGTAATTGTACATACTTTTAAAGAAAGCAGGTATAAATTATCTAAAAATTAATTGAATTCAAGCATAACAATTTACTGGCAAAATTTCAATATACATTAATTAAAACTAGTGCCAAAATTTACGAAATTACAAAATAAATGACAAACTTCCCATGTGAACATGATTATAAGTAGAAACTTTAATGTCTTGTAAATGACATAATAATGTAATACATTTTTTAAAAAGTATAGAGGATATATATAACAAGTTATAAGAACCTGTTAAATGGGAAAAATAGTATTGTCTACTAAGTGCAGTCTAATTATTTTTGAAAAAAACATAATATTGTTCATAATAACAAATTGGATAAATTTATCACATTATTAAGTATACATTTATCATTTCTTATGTATTAATACCAAATGTACACAATATACAAGTATATTCAAATATGATTTATTACCAGCAACATTTAAACTGTTCATAAAATATGAAATATAAAAGTAATGGATAAAGAAGTCTTATTTTAGATGTTGGCTGTGAAAACACTTAACAAAAATACTTGAATATATAGTTTACATTTTATAAATTGTTATTCAAAATACAGCTTATTAAAAAACTATCTATAATATGTTTATGCTCTTCTTTTCACAATTATTGTTATTTTAATTAGGAAATTATTTTTGTTATATTGATTGACTTATAATATTGCATAACAAGCAGGATTCTAGCACATAGCAATTAAAATGCTCTTTTCTATATATTTGTGAATTGAACAGTATGTAATAATTATCATTGCAATGTATACATATATAGAATAATGTTGTGATATTATGTACTACACTTTACAGTGTTTAATAAAGTATTTGTAAAACTAATGTTAAAATATATTAAATTTAATTAAATATTACAATTACATTAGTTTCTCTAATAAACTTCCATATATGTGTTATTATATTATGCAAGTACTTGATTTTTAATAGTTCTTCTTATATTATCAGTAACAGCAAACATTGGTCCATGTCCAGGTACTATAAAATTTGCTACATCTATTATATTACATCGCATTTGTGACTGAGTTTTTTGTAACTCCACAGTTCCTAATTCTTTCCAAATGGATGGATTTAGTATGTCTTCTTCTTTTTCAAACAAATCTCCTATAAAATTAAAAAAAATATACAAACTAATGCACTTAAACTGTATAAAATGTTAATATATTTATTTTAAAGAAACCTGTTATAGCAAAACATGTGGGTTTTCCACAAATTGTAGTTTCAACTAGCACTGTAACATCATCCAGTGTATGACCAGGGGTTGCTATAACTTTAACTTCTGGACAAATTTTATATCCTTCTATATGTGTGTAGAATAATCATAATTTTTATATGTTAAGTAATATAAGTTAATTGTAAAATATCATATATTTAAAGAAATTTCACCATTTTTAAAATTTATATCAAAGAATAGTTCTCCGCGATGGACACAAGTTCCAATTATATGTTCTGCATTTACGAAAAGATTATTATTTCCTATATGATCGGCATGACTATGAGTACAAACAACATAATCAATTTCATCGGGTATAATATTATGTTCCGCAAGCGCTAGAATAAAAGTTCTATTTAAGTATTTTGTAAAAACATTATAAATATCCGTTAAACGATATACACCTTGTATTATTTTCTGCCGATCCCAAGCTGTCATCGTATCAACGATAATATTCTTCGATGCTTTTATTAATGTACAAGTACAATTCGCTTTCATTATTCTATCTTCAAGTTTCGTGGAAAATCCATTGAATAATACAATAACTTCGCACATTTTTAAAAAGTGTAATTAAAAAGAATGGAACTGTTATAATTTACAACTTATTTAATCATAATTTTGTATTATACAATTTATATTGTATGTTTCGTATGAATAAATTTACTTTATTTCATTTATTATGAAATACTAAGGTTACAGTTCAAAAATATTGGAGTCAGCAAACCTTATATAAGAGGTTATGTTTTTGTATATGCCGAATTAAAACACTTTTGTCATAATTGTGTTGAATAAGAAATTGATAAAAAAGAAACGTTTAAAATGAAATTGGTAATTATAATCATTGTAATACTTCAATGTAATAATTTTTTTTGAATAAAATCACTAAAATATTTAACATTAGTTTGTATTATTTGGTCATAATAGCTGTATTTTAACAACATTTATTATATTTATAGTATTGTTTATCAAGTGAACCAACAAAGCCATGTTTAATCCTAAGTTTCAAAGGAATTACTTTGATGTTAGATTGTGGTTTAAATATGCAATCTATATTACATTTTATGCCAATGCCTATGGTTCCTAGTGCTAAATTTAATTCTTTGCCATTGTGGCTTCCACGAGATAATCATCAAGACTGGCAAATAGAAGGGGTTTGCATATTCACATACTTTTTTCAAATTATGTATTTCATGTATAAAATTGAATTTATGTTAGATATTCAATTTTTAGGAATTAAAAGAATGTTGTGGTAGAGTATTTGTAGACTCAACTCCTGAATTTTCTCCACCCTTGGAGAAAATAGTAGATTTTTCAGAAATTGATGCAATTTTAATATCAAATTACACTTGTATGTTGGCTTTGCCATTTATAACAGAAGATACTGGTTTTAAAGGCATTATTTATGCTACAGAACCAACATTACAAATTGGACGATTTTTTATGGAAGAATTAGTAGAATTTATTGAACAAACTCCTAAAGCAACATTAGCTAAACATTGGAAAGAAATGCTACATGTATTACCTCCTCCTTTAGCTGATGCTCTTAAACCAAAATCTTGGAAACATGTATATTCAATGTCAGCAGTTAATACTGCTTTATCATACATCCAAACAGTAGGATATGATCAAAAATTGGTAAGTTAATGTAATATTGCTTTGTAGTATTTTTACATTCTTTTTAATTTTTATAGGATATATATGGTGCATTAACAGTTACTCCTATAAGTTCTGGATATTGTTTAGGTAGCAGTAACTGGTTAATTTCATGTGATCATGAAAAAGTTGCATTTGTAAGTGGATCTTCAACACTAACAACTCATCCACGACCTATGGAGCAAGCTACTTTAAAACATGCAAATATGTTAATATTAACAGGTTTGACTCAAACACCCACTGCTAATCCAGATACTATGCTTGGAGAACTTTGTATGACTGTTGGTAGGTGGAAATATACTGTTCAATTGAATTATAATATTACCTTTAATATTTATATTAAAATTAAATTTTATAGCAATGACACTTAGAACTGGTGGATGTGTACTAATACCATGTTATCCATCTGGTGTTGTGTATGATTTATTTGAATGTCTTAGCACTCACTTGGATAAATCAGGTTTTTCACAAGTTCCTTTATTTTTTATATCACCAGTAGCTGAAACTTCTTTAGCATATTCAAATATTTTAGCTGAATGGTATGTTCCAAAATTTTAAATGGTATTATAAGTATTTGAATTATTTATTTTAATTGTCTTTCAGGCTATCAACAAATAAACAAAATAAAGTTTATCTTCCTGAAGAACCATTTCCTCATGCTTTTCTTGTTAAAAATGCTAGATTAAAACACTTTACATCTACATATGCTGAAGGTTTCAGTTCTGATTATAGACAACCTTGTGTTGTATTTTGTGGTCATCCTAGTCTTAGATTTGGAGATGCAGTTCATTTTGTTCAATTATGGGGCAATAATCCACAACATACTATCATTTTTACAGGTATATTTACTATTATATAAATGACCATCAGATGACTTTTTGTGAAGTAATTTTTATAAAAAGAAATTACCTAAGATACAGTATGCATGCTTACCAACAGAGTTCTCATTGGAACATTGAATCAGATAATAATTTTACAGAGGATCATTTGAAGGTCAACATATTATACATGAACATGCGTTTCTTTATTGGCTACAATATTAAGATATTTTGGATTCTAATCTTAGATGACTTACTCTGTGTATATATTGTATTGTGATACGTCTTTCAATCTTAAAAATTCTTTTCAGAACCCGATTTTCCATATTTAGATGCTTTAGCACCATTTCAACCACTAGCTATGAAAGCAGTACATTGCCCAATCGATACATCTCTTAATTTTACTCAAGCTAATAAATTAATTAGAGACTTGAAACCAGAACATTTAGTTATACCCGAATGTTATACGCAACCACCAATAACTGCACCACATAGGACAGATCTTGTTATAGAACCAGTGGGAGTAAATGTCAATGTTTTAATAATATATACAAATTACTTTAATTAAATATTAGTAGGTTTTTAATTCATTATGTGTTTAAGGAAAAGCCTTTAATTACTTTTAAGCGAGGTGAAGTTATAAAACTACCTTTAAAAAGAAAAAAAGGTCGAGTGTTTATTGAACCAGAATTAGCTGGAAACATAATTCCAAATGAAATTCGTCCTGGTCTAAGTCTTGCTTCTGTTACTGGCGAATTGGAAGTTAAAGACAACGTATATACAATAAAAGTATGCATTATTAGATAGAGCTACAATAAGTATACCTGTATACATTTTTAAAGATATGCTTTATTAGTTAAGAATCATATTTTTAGAGTATTGAAGATAGACCTAGTGGAAAACGTAAAGCATCTTCTGGGTCACCTGCACCTATTAAAGAAGAAGTTCTTAAAGAAAGAAAACACGAATATGGTAATTTAGATCCACAAGAACTACTTCAAAAACTTAATCAAGAAGGTATTCAAGGAGCCAAGTTACAACACAGTCCAACAGCTACCAGTATTCACTTAGTAAGAAACGTTTTTTCTTTAGTATTTTTTCTATTAAACATTACATTCTCTTTTATATATATTTGTGTATTATTTTTATTTGTAGCAAGATGAAGATACTTTAATTCAAATAGGGGATAATTCGACACATATTTTTTGTAATGGTGATCAAAAAATTAGACGACGATTGAGAACTATCATAATGCAGTGCCTTAAGAGATTTTAAGATAAAAAGTAAATAAGATGAAATCATTATTTTATATAGTGACAATTTTATTATAACTTATTTTTGTATGTATGTCGAATTTTTTTTCATTTACTATACGGAAGAATATTGATTCCAACCGTTTTTGATTAACCATAAGCGCCATACATATTATGTTTCCTACAACTTTATTTGTAGATATAGTATGTAAAACTTAATCTGTTACAAGCTAATATTTCAAAAATAAGGTACAAAATTTGTATTGATATGTACCTTATGATACAATTGTACATTATTAATAAACGTTAAAATTGCATAAAGGAACTTTTAAATATCTACATGTTTGTAACCCATTTGGTAATAATTAAAATGACTATAAATAGTCAGTCACATTACAAAGTAATATCAAGAAAATAGCGAATATCAGTGAAAAAGGTTCAATTTTTTATACAGAAATTACTTAAAAAAATAATTCATGTGGTCTTAATATCTTTATCTAGAAAAAAGAAATTTTACTACAATAGACGATATTAAATAATTTCCAATTAATCAAAACTTTGTGTTTTGCTGTAACAAATTCAGTATTACATCCTACATATACATGCATTGAATTATACATAATATTTACAAATACACTTGTTATAAAGGTGGCAGTATTACATGATCTCATTTATTGTATTTTTTACACCATAAGATACTTAAATAAACACCTTAAGAATTCCATGCAAAATGAAAACACTATAAAATACTGTATCTACATCAATCAAAACCATATAACTTAGTTATACATAAGACAGAATACAAATTACTTGCAATAACATTTATGGTGTAATGTCATAATACTATCTTTTGTTTTATATTTTTAATATAATACTAAACAAAAAATGTTATTCACTTCGTAAATAAAATATATTGAATAACAAAACATTTGTAATGAAAAATTACAACGTATTTCAGATCTGAACAAATGTAGATAAATAATATAAAAAATAAGTGTTACATATATTGTAATGTGATGAAGGCTGAATATAATAAAAATTACATTAACTTCTATGTACTATAAATATAATCTCTAAAATAATTGAATTGTTCCATTCTAAATGGTACAAATTTATGTATTCATTTTAATATATTTTGTAGTATCTATATTATTGTATACTAACTCCAGAGCAATCAATATGTTACAAAATAATAAACATATTATTCGTAAAAAATATGTTATTAAAGATTTATATTTGACATTAATATAAATTTGTAAAGTATACAAGATTTATTTTTATTTTAGCATACCTAAATGTTGATCTTTTTTTTATTTCTTGTTCTGTATATTTAGAAGAAAAATAACTTTGCTCTAAAGCACAAAAAATATCAAAATATAAGAACATAAATACCAAAAATTTTATTTGTCTTGTATATCATGTTATTGGATGTACTGTATTTTTCATCCTTTTAAATTGTTAGTCCTGGTTTATATTTGTTATTACTTCATCACATTCATTTTTGTGAAATTTTGTTTTCATAATAAGCACCAGATTTTTTATATATATTTAAAGTATAGCATACTTCAATTTAATTGCCAGTTGCAATTCCAAGTGCTAAACCAGCTATAAAAGAAGCAAAGAAAAAGTGTAATTCTGTAGCTTGAAATGAGGTATCACCAGTTATAGAGTGGTACCAACGTCGCGTACGAGATTCACCATTTTTCAACAATTGTTCAGCTTTATCTAGCTTTTTATCAACATATCTCTCGACCTGAAACAGGGAATTCTGTTACTAACATAGATGATTTATATTCAAATTTTGGTAAATGCTCACAAAACGTCATACACAAATTTACACAAAATATTGATACTTAAAATTTAAAAATAAAAATACATCGTAATATACCAAAAGAAAGTAAGAACAGATTTCAATCTTCAATTTTTATTATAATGTATATCCAACTTTTTACAATATTTCTGTTATTTTCTGTTTTTCATACCTTTTGTGAGAAGTAATGTATAAATTTGTACATATACATGCATGATTATTAACTGAAATATTAAATTTTTAGAAGGTATACAAAAGCATCTTAATGCATGTGCATACTTTTAAATGTGTTAGATTTCAGTCACAGATATATAAGATACAGTACTATAAGTTTCTCACAATAAACATACATTATAAAAATAATATAAAAATTTGTTTAATAATCAACTAACGTTACTAATTGAAATTATAAAATGTATGTTTGATTTATAAATACCAATGAAAGTGATGAAAATGATACCTAACATACAATGCTAATGTAGAGAGTAATGAATATATAGTCTGCTCGTACTTTTATACAAAACTAATATTTTTTATTCAGGATGCTAAGCCAATCATGAAACCACCAAAGAAACCTGTTGCCACAAATGAATTTTTTCGACACCATATCCCTACCTGTAAGTAACATCAATATTATGTTCATAAATACTAATATATAAATACTGAATATATTACAACCATGAATAGTCTTGCCTTATCAAGAAATTTGGATCCTTCGCCAGTTACTTTCTCTTCTACTGTATCTGTAATTTTCTCTGCTTTCTTTTGAATTTTATCCCAGTTAACTTTGATGTAACCTTGATGAGCTGCTATTTGCAACATTATTATTCCACCACCAAGTGCAAATGCAGCCATTTTCCCAACTTTCATGGTGATAAAGCCAGTCAGCCTGAAATATTTAAATAAAGTTTTGTTTCATTAAGTT